TGTATTTTTTAAATATATTTTTTATTTTAATATTGAAGTTAAATATATAATAGAGACATGTTCTTTAAAAAATCCAATTTAAAAATTCTTTAAAAATATTATCATAATAATGACAACTAGGCAGAGATGTTTAATTGTCATGAAAATACAATAAAGTCCTAAAATGGGCATCATTTTCTTAATGCACACTGTATGGTTTTTCTTTTGATTTTGGTGTAAAACATGAGCTGCTCTTGACCGGTTTGGTGAGATTCTGCCGTATAGATGTTAAACTGCTGTGTGAATGAGGCAGATGTCGAGTGATTCGGGAACTGAAGGAAAAATCCGTCCCGTCTGGAGCGACGCGACCCTCTCTCACGCCCCCGTGACCCCGCCTCATTTGCATACTAATCGCCGCCCCCGAATGCCATCGCCAAGGTGCCGCGGCGACCTGCTGTTGCCACAGCAACAGGCTCCGCGATCATCATGGCTTCAGGGATTTTGAGGAGTTTTTGTCGCATCTTCATAACGTTAATCATCTCTGTCATATTCATAAATGCCAGGCTGTCACAGGCTTATATGATGTCATTTATTTCAATTTACTGCTCCGAAACGCAGACGCAGCCTCGTCCCGCGGGACGCTCCGCAGAATCAGATCAGATTTGGTGGAAATTAATCACATTAAATCGTAGATTAAGTGATAATCCCCTCTGAGCTCTTAAATACTGTAAGTGATTGGCATTGACCCGTTACCCAGAGATCAGTGCTTCTCAAGTACCCTGGTAAAGATGATAATACCATGCTATTGTGTAATCTTGTTATATATTAACCCAAAAACTCTCTTGATGTGTCCTTTAGCCAGACAGAGTTATTTTAGTATCACCGAGATGCTGTTATAGTTTTTATTAATATTTAGATTTTTTTTTTTTTTTTTTTTTTTTTTTTTTATTTTTTAGTAATTTTGTGGTGTGTTTTTGTTATTTTTTTTTATTTTTTTTTTTTTTAGATATATCTATATCGTTTTTTTTATTCATTTTTATTTCAGTTTTAGTTTTAGTACATCAAGCTAAACTAAATGAGAATGAAAAATTGCAACTAGCTGAAATAAACTAAATATTTTATTCAATATTTTGAGATACTATTATAATTTTTATTAATATTTTGTGTTTGTTTTTATTTTTTATATTTTTTGTTTTCATTTTAATTACATTTTTTTAGTACATTTGTTTATTGATTTTGTCATTTTTATTATTATTTTTAAATATGTCTGTATAGTTTTTATTCATTTTTATTTCAGTTTTAGTTTATTACATCAAGCTAAACTAAATGAAAATGAGAAATGTTGAGAACTAGCTGAAATATTTACACTAAATATTTTATTAAATATTTTGAGATGCTATTATTATTTTTAATATTTGAATTCATTTTCATTTTAAAGTTTGTTTGTTTTTTAAGAAAAAAAAAATTTTTTATTCATTTTTATTTTAGTTTATTTAATGTTTCATGCAACTGAAAACAAATTAATCGCATTAAATCATAGATTAAGCGATAATCCCCTCAGAGTGACCCGGGGAGCTGCCCACCCCGTTATCCAGAGATCAGTGCAGCGTCCCTGGGGAAGAGCGCTGGGCGAGTCCCTGGATTAGGCCTCAAAATCACCCATTTCCATAATTACACTTTATTAATTGATATATTGGATGATGGTGATTCCAGAGTGTTTAGTGTGTGCGAGAGCATGTGTACATGTTTACTGACGGCCAGCTGTTTGGGATTTTTGTATTTTAAGAAGGGTAAAAAAACTGTATGGTAAAAGAGCTGCTATAGCGAGCATCGGAGCTTATATAATGTGAATTCATTCATTGATCCCTTTAAGCTCACAGTAGCATGTCGTAACGCAGTCTACTAAGAAACATGCTTTTAACCCAAAACCCCCTGATTTTTCCTTTTAGCCAGACATATAGATGCATAACTTTTTGCTTTGTGTTAGTCCCACCAACAAACATGGTTGCTTTTTACTTTATATCATGTGCATTAAATATAATAATGCAAAAAAAAAAAATTGTATTAAATATATTATTAATAATATTATTTAAAAATAAAATATACTGTTGTAATATATATTGTTTTTATTTTTTATGTTTTAATATTTTTTCCTGTTTGAGAAGTGTGCAAGATAAAAATTAGCGTGTGCCCACTCATAGTATGCTAAAAATCCCCATATATTATATTATACTTTCAGATATATAATTATATAAACATACGTATAATATTGACAGTAAAAACATACTTTATCAATTATTTTTGCTGTTTGTTTGCCCCACCAGCACTTACAATGCATTGTTGCTTTTAATGGAAAGAAAAGAACTAGTTACTTTTAATTACTTTGCATTAAATAAAATAACACTTGCTCATTATTTTTCATGGATTTTCAAACGATGCATTCATGCATGCTTATTATTGCCCACAAACCCTTGCACAAGAGTTTGTGACCAAACTGAGGCCGAAAGTGCCAAAGTATATGAATTTTCAGTTAATAAATGAAGATGCATGCTAATGTTTACATGCACACACAACTAGTCTAACCAATGAGACTCTAAAACTAGCGTACTTTTTATTTTCATGGTATGGAAAGAATGAATCAGTGATTCATTAGAGCAGATCTTTTCAGTCGTTTTTTCTGTCTGGGTGAAGCGGTGCCTGTGTGTTTCGTAATGCATCGGTTCTTTCGTAACACGGACATCTGTATTTTCCCTCAAGAATATTACAGTTGCACAACTCTAGCGGGTGAAATTAAGAATGTTTCTTCAGAAAAGCAAAGTGTGTTGAATCAGAGTGATGTATTTCTAGGGAAAAGAGAGGAAAGGCTCGAAGCACAATGTAGACGCTCCGAAAAGATCGTCTAAAGCGAGGAGCGTCACGCTGGAGGATGAGGACTGGAAGAAGGCGGCGCTAGTCAGCGGATCCAGTCTGACGCGCTCTGGAAGCGTTAAAGATCTCATATACAGGTTTGACGGGCCGCTGCCAAGCCTCGGCTCGCTGAAGATCAAAAGGCAAGACGTGAGCGCATGGGATTCTGGGAAAATGAGACATGAAAGCAGAGAGAGAGAGAAGAGCCAGAACCCGGTCTCTGGTGAACTGTCAGAACCGAAAACACAAGAAGCCTCTGAGCAGGAACGTCACGGAGCAGAGAAGAAGAGCGATGACGAGCAGAAGGCCCAGCACAGTAAAGACAAGCCAGACGCTTCTGATCCCGGTCCGGTAAGTGGCCGAGGGCTCTCGTATCGGACCCGTCTCGTCCTGTCGACCGCGCTGCTTCACTGTGAATCTCCTGACACGCATGAATCAGCCAATCACAGTCCTTTGATTTCTCACACGCTTGATCAGTCAGCCGACACTAACCAATCCAGCTGACTCCAGCCTGACAGTGTTTTGTCTGTGCATGAGCTGTGTTTACATTTATGCATTTACAGTGCATTCATGTGTGTTCCCTGGGAATCGAACCCACGACCTTTTGCGCTGTTAACGCAATGCTCTACCACTGAGCCACAGGAACACTGTGTTGCTGTGTTGTTTTAGTGTCATCGAGATACCAGTTTATATCGTTTACAGTAATATTTTGAATGGCTTTATGTTTTGCTTTTTATTTTTTAAATTTAAATTTAGTTCAAGTTTTAAGAATTTTGTTGTGCTTCTGTCATTATTATTATTTGCATATAGTTTTTATTAATTTTTAAATCAGTTTTGGTTATTTTAGTGTATCAAGTTAAGCTAGATGAAAATGAGATGTTGCCTTGACAAATAGCTGAAATTTATTATTATTTTTTTTTCTTTTCGTTTTATTAATTTATTGCACTATTTTACTAAGGTTAACATTTATTTATATATAGTTTTCATTAATATTTTAATCTGTTTTTGTGTTTTGTTTCATTTTTATTTAATGTTTATTTATATTTTTCATTTTAAATGTAAAGTTTTAGTCATTTTAGTTCTTTTGTATTTTTTTCATCATTATTACTATTATTGTAAATATATCTATATATTTTTTTATTAAGTTTTATGTTGTTTAGTTGTTTTAGTGGATCAAGTTAAACTAAATGAAAATGAGAAATATTGCCTTGGCAAATAGCTGAAATAAAATAATTTTTTTGCATTTTATTATATTAAGGTATTCATTCATTCATTTATATTCATTTTTATTTTTATTTCAGAAGGGAGAGTGTACATTAAGAAAAAAAAAAGGTAAAAAATAATTAAAAACAAATGAGAAAAAAAATACAGGTAAAAAGCAAATACAGCTCAGTAAACTACAATTAAGTAGCACATACTGTATATAATACACTGAATTAATAAAATTATAAATATTGTTATAGGTGATAAAAAACAAGTAATGGCAATGATTTGACCTTGTGCATGATTTGTGTGCTTTAGATGTGCATGTGTGTCTCTGAGTGTTTGTAACACAACATGCATCTGATCTGCTGTAATAATCAGCGTTTGTGTTTTGATTTATGATTCAAACAGCAGCTCTGTCCTCACTCATTTATGACGCTGAGCTTGATTTTCGATGTTTGCTTTTCTTACCCAGCATTCCAATCTAAATGGCGAGAAGCAGCACAGCAGTCCTCAGTCCGAGGACGAGCCCACGACCCCGAAAGTCCGTCCCAACCCCAAGTACCAGCTCTACCTGGGCTCCAACGGCACCAGCGGCTCCAACGGGACCCTGCTGAGGGTCAGTCCTGTGATCCGGGGGTCCATGGAGTCGCTGTCGTCCCGGGACGGGGACAGCATGTCCGACAGAGTGAGTGTGTGGCTGCTTATAGAAACCAGGATTAGTAGGCTATAGCTAACTAGAATTAATATTAGGGCTGTCAAAATGGCTGAAAAACTAAATTCGAATTTTGTACTTAAATATTAGCAAAATTCGAATTATATTAGAATTTGAAATGCATAATTTCAGTTAGGGTGAAGAAAAGCTTTTGGCTTCTCTCCTGAGGCCACAAGAGGGCGCATCATTCAAAGCA